CCCCCCCCCCCCCCCCCCCCCTTCGAAATTACCTTTTTCTGGTCATTTTTCAAATTTTTTAGATAAGAATCTTGACTTTTGATGACTAGTTTTTATAAACTTTAAATGTTTATACCATTAAATGCTATGCTACTTCTCTCTCTCTCTTTTCTTTTTCTTTTTTTTTCTTTTTTTTTTAATTGTAATGGGCAACGGAAAGAAGTGATCGAGGTTTAAGCAAAGATTAGGAAGAAAAGGAAGGTTTAAAAAGTCATAATTGTAATGATTACAGCACTTATCACCACCTCCATGGGGAGGGAGGGAGAGAGAGAGAGAGAGAGAGAGAGAGAGAGAGAGAAATTATTATTATTATTTTGATATATATAATAATAAAAGGCATTGTGAGTTGATTGATGAAAAAAAGCAGGAAGAAGAGTGGTGGTCCTGGACGACATTCCATTTAAAGCGGAAGTTGGGAGATGGGGCCAATGCCCGATGGGCGATGGGTTCCGATAAGTGGAATTATTAGCGTACCCATGTGGGTTGCCCCCTCCCTCCACAGTCCGCCCCACGGCTCGACACTCCTCATCTCATTTTTTATTTCATATTAACTTTTTATCTTATTCTTAAAATAACAATGGATGTAGTTAGGTAATTTATACTTAAAATTTGTAATAAAAAAAATTGTTGTTTTAAATAATATAATTAGATAAAATTAATATAACTGGTGGGGTCCAAGACATATGGGTATAGTAAAGGGAATTATATTATTCCAAAGTTTTAAATAATTTCCAGCCCATAAATAGTTGACAATAATTAATGAAATTTGTTAGATAGTGGAACTCAATTCCACAAACCTTTGAACACAGATATGGATTCATGGTGCTCCTTCCGACACATCTTTCTTTCTATTTTCTTCTTCTCCTCCACATAATATAATATATGTAATAGTAGAGGATTTAGCACGTGGAACACGGTGATTATTAACCGTTCACGAATTAGATATATTACAACGAGATATCGTCTCTGTTTTCATAAAAAATTATAATATATTGTTAGTTAATGAGAACTTCAAATTCTTCGATTCTATTTATTTTACCTGATATGAATAATATTTGACTATAAAATATTGATTTTTCTTAAATGAAAATTAGCTATTAATTTTTCCAAAAAAAAAAAAAAAAAAAAAGTGTGGAAAAATTTCTGTGAATTTTCCAAATTACAGAAGAAGCCATCACCGGCGAAGGGTCGTCGGCTGCAAATATTGATTTTTCTTTTTTCTACTTTTTCTTTTATGTTATGATATTATATATATTAATTGTTATTCTGTTTATAAAATAGTAAAATAATGATGTTGATGTGATAAAGAAAAAGAAAATAAAATGCAGAGAAGGTGTGGAAGTGTTTAGGTTTGTGGTCCTTATTGGGCTGCCAGCCTGTCATTCATAGTATTTATAAAAGCAATAATCATATGCTAAATATTCTCCTAATCATAGTAACGAATTTCATAACTATCATTCGTGTTAAATTAGTCCTACAAAACCATAGATTAGAAAAATAAATTTGGAGTTGTTATATATAAATAAATAAAAGGACCAGTTGAAATAATTGATTTGACTAAAAACAGTACGAAAATGATATATTTATGGCCTCTTTAACCACCAACATTCCCACAAGAATTTAAACTTTTTCATTGATTCCCTTTTCTTTTCTTTTCTTTTTTTCTTTGAGAGGAGATGCATAATGCATGTAAGGTAAGCCATCGTGTTCAGATCGATAACATTGCACGTGATATCTTACCAATCAAATTTCTAAGTCTGTATCTCCATATTAAACTGGTTCTTTTTAGTTCGACAATTTCATAATGGACGTTCACATCTCTCAGATTGTCCTATGCGGAGAAATTTAGTTCTAGATATGAGAACTACGTCATGCTAATATGTTTAGTATATGGTGAGACCCTGACAACTACTGCGACCAATTATAAGGATTATGGATATTAATTCGGAAACTCAAATGGGAAAAAGAAATAATGTGTCGCAGAAGGCAGGTGTGTTGTAAAAGTAAATATGAGGGGAGGGGAGGGAGGTAGCTGGGTTTTTTTTCACAGACAGCATGATTGTGAGGAGTCATTTGTAGGCTTGTATCCAGAGGCAACGTGATTATGTCGTTGCCTATAAGTGACAATGCATGAGACAAAGGTTTTAGTGTTATTGGCCCTACCAACTACACTCCCAAGTATTATCAAATCTTGTGACCCTAAATCTCTTCCCTAATATCCTCAAATCTGTACTTCCCACCCATTTTCCTTAACCGGAAACAACCCTTTAATCTTATGATTAGTTTTTAATTAATTGACTCCAAATGAATCCCTCATCATTTGGGGTGGGTTAGGTTGAGCTCTTTTATGTGTTTCCTTTTTACGTTACATTTGAGAATATTGGGCACATGGGCTTTATCTTGTGTGTTCTGTGTTGGATCTCAATATGAAACAAAAATTGACATAAGAATAGTAAATCTCACACCTTTTAACACACACGTCCTGCATATTGCAATTTTTAAAAGAATGTAATTTCGACGTGAGTATCGATCAGATGTAGGCAAAGATAGTGTTTGAATAAATTAAAAAGAAGAAGGTGATGATGAAACTGAATTGTATCCCCGATATCTAAAGCTGCAAAATCAATATGCAGTGTAAAAATATGTGTAGAGAAAAAGAAAAAGAGGCAAAAGAGAAGAAGCGTTCTGCCCAACAAATAACTCTGCTTAGATATAATGATGTGATTAATCATAATTAAGCTTCATTAAATCTGTGGTGGTGGTTAATTATGATACACAAAAACTGTGGACACTGAAAAAGGAGACGGGCAAATTGGATGGTGGAGAGGTGGGTGAGGGGGGAAAAAGGGCCACTTTGGGTATGGCTCAAAAGTAAAAGACATGAAATTTATTAGAAAAGAGAGCTATAGGATTATCCTGTCCCATCCCCTTTTGATTCTACTGCTTCCACACTCTGTTAGATTCCCCAAACAATGTTAATATATATATATATCATATCATGATGAAGATGATGAAGAGTAGTAAGCCTTGATTAGGAGAAGAGGAAGGGGAGGAATTTCGAGAAAGCTGAAGCCCTGGAGAGGCAAAGTGAAAAGGAGAAAAGGGTATGAAATGCAAATTACATGAATGATGATAGGAATGATATGGGAGGCACATGCATGATGCTTACATATATTACCACTCACTCACTCTCGATTATTATTGTTGTTTTTGACTTGGCTCTTGGGGACCCACCACACTATATCTTTAAACACACACACACCTAATCCCTCTAATCCTTTACTACAATCACACAACACTAGAAAAGTCTACATATGTTCAGACAAAACCCTAATTTCAGAAATCCCACTCATTATTTTTGTTGCTTAAAGCTTGCTTGCCCACTTCTCTCCTTATCTTCTCTCTCTCTATTTGGTGTTGTTGTTGTGTGTGTGTGGATCAAAAGGAGAAAGCTTTGAGAGACACAGCTGCCAGCTCCTATCACCAGTAGGCCACTATGTGATACGATCTAAGGGTCACCCAAAACAAAAGGGTTTATGTTATTTGGGTTTCAGGGGGAAAAAAAAAAAAAGACAAGACAAGAGTCTACGCATATGATCATGGATGGTGAAAATGGGATCCGGAGACCTAATTTTCCATTACAATTGTTGGAGAAAAAAGAAGAAGAACACCCATGTTCCACCTCCGCAAACAACGGAACAACGACAACCATATCAACAACGACAACGGTGAATCCGAATCTTCAATCTTCTTCGCCTAAGAAGCCACCTCCCAAAAGGGCTACTACCAAAGATCGTCACACGAAAGTCGATGGCCGTGGCCGGAGGATTCGGATGCCGGCCCTTTGCGCCGCTAGGGTTTTTCAGCTTACTAGAGAGCTTGGTCATAAGTCCGACGGTGAAACTATAGAGTGGCTGTTGCAGCAGGCGGAGCCGGCTGTCATCGCCGCCACTGGTACAGGTACAATTCCGGCTAATTTCACCTCGCTTAATATTTCTCTCCGTAGTTCCGGCTCCACCATTCTTGCTCCTTCTCACCTCCGGACGAGCTATTTCAGTCCCACACAATTCGCCGTCAGAACAAGATCTGATCTTTGGGATAGGAGTAATAATAATAATAATAATAATAATACTCTGGTCGATGATTCCTCTACATTTTTGAATTTCAATTCTCCTAATTACATCAACGCATTCAAGCACGATCAGGGTGGGATTGATGTAACGGACGCTGGAAAGAAACGGCGGCCGGAGCATTCGGAATCGTCATCGGAGAATCCGGTGGGGAATTATTTGGTTCAATCGAGTACCGGGTCGATTCCGGCGGGTCACAGCACTCCGGTGCCGGCAACATTTTGGATGGTGACGAATCCTAGCAATCAAGCGAGTGATCCGATGTGGACATTTCCGTCGGTGAGTAACAGCAGCATGTTCAGAGGGGGAAGCGGAGGTGGTGGCGGCGGGGGGTTTCATTTCATGAATCTTCCACCACCAATGGCTCTTTTGCCAACTGGGCAACAAGTGGGGTCAGGGATCGGGGGTGGTAGCGGTGGTCCGGCGACCGACACCCACTTGGGGATGTTGGCGGCTCTAAGTGCTTATAGGACGATACCGGGTGTGTCAATTTCAGAATCTCCGACAAGAGGAGCGGCGGGTGTTCATCAAGGT